TATCCCTGGGGAATAGCTGCTTCTCACAGCATGAGGTTTTTAGGAGCCCCATCCTTGGGGAGAATCTTGGGGGGGGGGAGGGGCAGGGGGTTTTTTTTCCACCTTACCTTTTTTTTTTCCTTCTGTTTTTCCCCTTTTTTAATGCTTTTCTTCCATGAATGGGACATTTATGTGGTTCCACGTGGGAGTCTGGGTATCACCCTGGAGCTGAATTCCCCAAAGGAGCCTCAGAGGGCTCACAGTCAGAAGGCTGTTTTCAGGAGGGTGAGCTCAGCAAGGACAGTCAAAAGCAGCTTCTGTTATGACCTTCTCCACCCCAGGAACCAGGATTCAGAGTCTGACCCTCACCCAGAACTGTGGGGGAGAAAGGAGGAGAAAAAAGTAAAAAAATTAACAATAACTTAAGTTTTCATTTGGAGGAAACACTCAAATGATTAAAAAAGAGCCAAAGGACAGAGCAGGGACACGTCGGGTGGGCTGAAGAAGGGGATGTCCACCAGGGTAACTGATGCCTGCAGTGATGTTGCCTCCAGAGATCTGTGGGCCCCAGCAAACATGGACAGAATTCAGAACATGGCAGGGGAAGAAGGAGGTAATAAACTGGGATAAATGGCTGCAAATGTGTGTTCTCTCCAATTTTTTAGGTTGTTTTTATGGTGCTGCTGCCTCTATTGGCTTGTTTTTTTGCACGCTCTCTGAATGCTGGATGGGAGGACATGGCCTGTCCCCATCACCCTCCTCCTTCCAACACCCCTTTCCTCAGTCAGTCCCTGCCATCCAGGGGAAATTCTTCTTGCTTTTCCTTGCCTGCCTCCATCTGGTCTCACAAAATAATGTTTCTTAATTATTTTTTTTAAAGTCTGCCCCTTGGTCCCCAACTCACCTGTGCTTGAAAAGCATGAAAGGTCACGTCCAAAAATAAATCATTCTGGTAACTGAAACAACATCCTGCTGATATTAAAGCAGCCCATGGGAACCAAGACCTGCTTTATGAACCAGACACTTCCTCCCAAAGAAACCTTGTGGCTTGGATTCCCATTTTTGGGGGCTTTTCTCCATGGTTTTTTCCCACGAGCCACCCAGCTCCCTGCTGCGGAGGTGCTGCCCTGGCTGGACATGGGGCAGGCTGCACGTTGGTTCTCTGGGGACATGCCCCGGGCTGTGGGCACCTAAACCTTGCCAGACCATATGCAAGGCCTTCTAGTTTTCTTATTTCAGCCTTCAAAGGACAAGCACTAAGGAATTGAAGAGAATTAAGTCATGGGCAGATCGAGGCGGGAAGGGCTGGGGTGGTGGGACAGTCCATGGGTGCTGTCCCAGCCCACTCCAGGATGTTCCCTTGCTTTGCCCTGATGCCAGGAAAGGTGAGTAGCACGAAGGAGCTGGTTTGTACCCCTCTAAAACAAAGCTGTCCTTGCTCAGCCCAAGGGAGACTCACCTTTGCAGAGAGCATCCCCAGGAAAAGCTGTCAGAGCCAGGGGTGCTTCCAGTCCGTGCTCTTCCTTACAGAAACCTGCACCAACTCCCAGGGAGTTTCTCTTCCTTCCTATTGTAAAGCACAGTGAAACCCACCTGTGTGAGACCCTTGGTCCTCCTCTGCCAGCCTGGAGGTGACATGTCAGGCAGGGGCACCAGCAGCAAAGTCACGAGGTGGCTGCTAAAGCAGCTTTCCTTGGAGGACCAGCCCTTCCCTCTTGCATCAACCACCAGCTCCTGCATGGCAAGGGGTTATTCCATCATTGTTATTTTTTATAGCTGTTGGGGGGAAAAAAAAGGATTGATGTAAAATGAATGATCCCAGTTCTCAGAGGTGCAAAAGGCTCTGACCCATCACAGCCTCTTCTGGTTCCTGACTCTTGGTGTCGGGTGGCAAACTGGAATAACTGGGATCCTGGCTCCGTGGCTGATGGAGGGACTGCTGAGACAGCCTGGCAGGAGAGCCTGGCCCCAGCCATGCCTGCCTGCCCCTGGGCTTCCTGAGGGCAGCACATCTGGGGAAGAAACAGGCCAGCATCAAAAGAAAAGTGAAATAGCTTGGGCTGCATGAAAAAAAGGGAATTGCAGGGTTTGGTGTGGAGCTCCCTGCGTGCAGCCTCTGCTTCCAGGCAGCCAGCTCAGCTCACTGCTGCCCGGCAGGGAACCTGCCCACAGAGCTGTGGGAGGAGGAATTTTCCTAGGTGTTGGCCTCATCCTACCCTGGAGGCAGGGCTGACAACCCTGGGCAGGTGCCAGTTGTGAAAAGTACCACCAGACACTTTGGGGGGTGTTGTTGTAGCCAGCACCCACAGCTGCAGGACATTGTCCCCCCAGAGCAAGAATAAGAAGGAGCAAGGGGCTCTGCAAAGCTCTGCAGCTCCAAAACCACCCAGAGATCTATTTCTGGGAGTGGGGATGGGACACACATGATCACTCATCCTGCATGTTCGTGCTGGGAGTAAAGGGACACCAGCCCCACATCCCTGCACGGGTCATAAAATCATGGAGTTAGAGCATTAAAGAATCATTTAAGTTAGTAAAGACCCTTCAGACCATCAAGTCCAAGGGTTAACTCAGCCCTGCCAAGGTCACCACTAACCCATGTCCCTCAGCACCATCTCCAGGGCTTTGAAACCCCTGCAGGGATGGGGACTCCAGCCCTGCCCTGGGCAGCCTGGACAACTCTCAGCCCATTGATCCAGCCCAGCCCAGCTGGAAGGCAAAAGGCACCTGCTCACACATCTAATCCATATTTGCTTACATTTTACTCACGTTGGCTGCTCCAATCCCTCCTAATATGACCACCAGGATCAGGGTCACCCCTGCCCATTCCTCCAGCACACAATGCCTGCTCCTGGCAGAAAAAATACCCCCCTGTGCTGCCACCACTGCTGGGTTTTGCCCAGGGAGAGACATGGTTTTATTCTAATAATTGCCTTAGTGGAAGCAATTGGTCCTTTTCCCACCTTCCCCACCAAGCCCTGGCCTAGGGCCTATTGATCTCCTTTTGGTCAGGGCTTCATTTCACTGAGACTGCTCACTTTTTTTATGCTCACCAAAGTATAAATCTAAAAAAAATAAAATTAATTGTGTCCCTGTATAGAAATTATCTGCCAGGGGAGCACTCAGCCCAGAGGAGCAGCATGGGGAGCCAGGGATGAGCTCCTTCCCACCCTTCTGGCACATGGCAACGTGCTTCACTCCAGCCCCAGATCCTGGGCAGAGTATTCCCAGGAGGATGGGTGCTCAGAGAGCTCCCACCAAATACGTGTTCTGGGGACTGGAGCTCAGTTCCCTCTCTCATGGGGGAATCCTCTACCCTTGAGTCATGCCAGCAGCTCCTGGGCATCCCCAAGTACTTGAGACTCAGATCTGTGTCTCAAGAAGCTTTCCTGGGTGTTGAACCTTTGGCAGGCTCAGCACCAAGAGCTTGGACACTTTCCCCATCCTACTTCTTCAGGGTGGGATGAAGGGTCGAGTCCATCATTAAATGTGATTCAGACAATCAAGTTGCATCAAAGAGATGCAAAAACACCCTCACGTTTTGTGGTCAAGTGATATCAATATTCATTTTTCCCCAACCCTGCCAGGGGAAACAGCAAACCCCAAAGCAGCAAGAAGGGAGCAGAACTGGAGCCACCCCCTTATCCACCCCAGCTCACCTGCCTGCCCAGCTGCTCCCAGAGTCTGAACCTGCAAGAGTTTTTGCTCTCACACACGAGGGGTGGGTGAAGGAACAGAGGGGGGGAGAGGGGGGGAGGGGTGGGAAAAAGCACCCTGAGATGAGAAAGGCTGTGGTGAGTGCAAACAGAAAGTGAGAGTGAAAGAGGGAGCATGGAAAGTGCCCCAGAGCTGAGCTCAGCAGGGCTGGAGCTCCCTCCCCACACCCGAAACCACGGGCACCACCACCACCAGTCCCATTACTCACCCGGGTGTTTTCAGGGCTGGGGGGGTCAGAGAGGACAAAGAGACAAAGGAGGATTTCACAAAAACCCTGAGGTCCCAGGGTGATGGGCAGGAGAGGCACCAGGTGGGACCAGGGGCACCATCCAGCCCTGTGAAGCTCCTGGCAGGAGCTTTTTATTTCTGTGAGTGTCATAAAACTTGAAGACCAAGCCTAGGAGGTTGATGGAAAGTGTTACTCTCACCACCAACCCTGCTTCTGTGGGTTCCTGGAGCTTGCCCACATCTCTCTCCTTCTGTAAAACATCATGAGCAATCCCTTAGGGTGACAATGCTGAGGCTGGCATTGGTGCTCCTCTCACTGAAAGCTTTGCTGAGAACCTTGCAGGAAACACAACCAGTTGGAAAAGGGGGGGGAAAAAAAAGGATAAAAAAGCCTAACTTTTGTCTTACCCCAGGCATACTTTGACTCAGAGAAAACCTTCCTTTCCCTCCACGTTCTAGGATGCTCTTCAAACAATCCTCCCATTTCAGTGTGAGAAGTTACCTGCACGAAAAGCAACCATCCAAAATACCTGTGAGCTTTTCAGGGAGCTACAGCACCTATCCAGGGATCATCACCAGCTCCATCCCCCTCCTGGAAAAGGCTGTACCCAGAACATCTGCTGACTGTGGGGTTCCCAGGAAAACAGCCCCAGCTCCAGCCATGGCTGGAAGAGAGAAGAGCCAGGAGATGCAGGTGACTGATGCAGGATTTCATGGGCTGCAGTGCCCTGACTGCAGGCTCAGGAAAGCCACACCGACTGAGAAACAACAATTAGTTGTGTGACTTGAGCTTTCAAATCAATAAAAGCCCAGCACAGGCTGAGGGGTCCCTATTCCAGGGGATTCCTCCTTGCAGAAACACCCGTGGCCAAAAAAAAAGCACCCACTGAGTTTCAAGCCTTTGCTTTCCCATTTTGTGGAGCCATCAGTTCCCAACATCAATCAGCAGCAATGAATCTGTCAGTGAGGCTGTTTTGGGGAGCTCTCTGACCCCAGATCTTCTGACAAACAAATGATCCAGGATCAGTCCTCTGTACATTTTGACAGTGGCGAATAGTATTAAAATGACTTACATTAACTGAAGCATCCAGAAATCTTATTCTACACAACATTTTGCAGTCCTGTTGATGTACCAACCATCTGCTCTGAACTGTCAGCCCAGCTGTGATAGCATCATGCTGTAGCTTGTATTTATATATGTATTTATATATGTATATATACACACACAGACAATTATTCCATCATTATATTTGATTCTAATGATGGGAAATGAGTCTCCTTCAAATAACCTACCTCTTGCCATTGAAGGTAAGTTACAAGATACTACCTGACCTTTGCAAAAGGAGCCAGTTTACTAAAGAAGAAAACTTGTCTAATTTGTCAGGTTACAGGACAATTAACCCCACACAACCAGAGGTTCAGGTGGGAAATTATCTCCCCACACAGACACCTCAGTTCACTGGAGCACACAGGGTGGTTTGTGATGTTCATGGCTCTTCAGCTGAGTTGAACTTCAGGAGCAGCCATGAAGACAACAAGTTAGATTTCTGTTGATAGGATGGACAAGGCAAGACTGAAACAGCACATCAGTGCCTGGGGTCAGCACACATTTCCAGGAACCTCCCAGGATTTTCAGAACAACGTGGCTGGAGAAGATCCTATTTCTCATCATTGCATGTAGAGTCCTCATAACCAAACTGAACTGAGGGGCTTGGGGTTTTTCTAATCAGGTTTCTTTATTATTATTATTATTATTTTCTTTTTCAAATAGGATTTTTAAGCACTGCCTTGGTTGAGGGCAGCCTAGCCAAGAGCAGAGTTTCATCCAGTTTTGCCTACAATAATGTTACATTTTTTTATAGCTGGACTCAGAATGGTTCTTATTTTTCCCTGGAGTTGAATTTCAGCAAAAGCAATTTACAGCTGAAATAAAGCCAGTGGAATTACATCTTCTTGTGTAAAATCATACCTCTTCTAACAGTTTTAATAGGCTGTGGTGTGCAATTACTGCACTGCCTCTCTAAATGTGTATGTGGTAAATCCTCATCTTTGTTGCTTCAACCACAAATGCTCCTCTCCACCTGGATAACCCTGGCAAGGTGGGTACCTGAGATCAAAGCACAAGAGGTGATAAAAAGGACATGGCTTTTTCCATTTCAGAAGAACCTGCTGCTCACTTTTGGATGCTGCTGACATAGAAAAGGTTATTATCTCTGACCCCACCCCCCCCCAATTAATAACAATATTAGATGCTAGGCTGCCTAAAACCACTAAGGAACATCAAAGTCCAGCCCACAGATCTACAGTCATTCCCATTTTACAGGTAAGACTGCTAGTGCCTGGGTTTGTTGGGCAGGGAACACAAACATGGTACAAACTGGGCAAAAGGAGGAGAAACTGGCCAGGCTCAACTCACCACCCAACCCAACCAGGACAACCAGCCTGTGAACATCATGTTCAGCATCTTCCCAGGGAATGTCACCACAACAATACCTCTGGGACTGCTGCTCTGGGGGGGATTTGGGTCTGCAGAGCATGATTCCAAGGGCTGGAGCTTCAGCAGATCTCTGGCTTTATCACCTCTGATCCTGCAGTATGTGGACAAGGATCCTGGCCCAGCAAGGGCTGCAGGCACAGATGCTACCAGGGAAAGAAAGAAGTGGTGACAATGGTATCATTTGGGCATGGTTCTCTGGAGATAATCGAGAAGAACACTCCCGTTTGGAAAAGCAGCAAATGCAGCAACATTCAGTTATTTCTTCTACCAGGGAGAAAAGATTCCACTTGCCAGTGTTAGGATATATTCCATGTTATCAGTAGATCAAACCCAGCCCATGTTTCAGGTAACCCTGGGGCTGGGGGAGGGAGGAAGGAAGCACTCCTGCTTTGGAAACACCTGTGTGAGAACTGGACATTCCTGGCAAATTATCCATGAGCCATGTATCCTAAGAGACAGAAATTCTGTGAAGAAAGCAAAATATAGCCCAAGGTTTTGAATAAAAGGGAACCAGATGTGCCCTTGTATGCCTGTGCTACTTGTGTAGCCTGTATTTTCCAGTCTCCTGTGCCTGGGAAATGCTGAAGACCCTTCAAAGGTGAAGCCCTTGGTGAAGATGCTCTTACCATCCCAGCCAGCTTTCAGTAGCATATAAGGAACACCTTCTAGGCCCAGTTTTAACTCCCACCTCACTGGAATTTCACAAAGAAGTCCCTCCAGGAGATGAGACTCAGGAAAAGGATGGAAAGTTCCCTCTCCTGGATCATGAGAAGAACCTCCATGCACAACCTTCCCTTGAGATCAACGTCCTGTGCACAATGTCCATTCAATAGCAGCTGCCCCTGAGGACCTCTGAAGGTATTTAAACCAAATCTTCCTTCCTTCAGACAAAGAACTCCAACTAATATCCCTGAAGACATCTAAGTGTGCCACAGGAATGGCTTAAACCAAGAGCTGGTGTCCAGATTATGCCCCACCCAAAGAGAACCCTCACCCCAAGAGGAACCTCCTGCCCTGCTGCTGAGAGTACCAGTGTGACTGAGCATCTGGCAAGGAAACCTGGAAAGCTGAAGTGGTGCCTTTTCAAGAACAGGCCTGCAAGCACATTCTGAGAGGCTCTTTCACTTCTGTGACAGAAAAAAACAAGAAAAAAAGAAAAGAAACTTCCTACACAGGACTAAAAACCACAGCCCACAGCCTAATGACTAGTGCAGAGATGGAAACCACACAGGGCAATTGGAAAATCATGCAGCACTGGTATTCCAGCAAAGTCAGTCTCTAGACACACCACGACCTTCTTAGGGGAAACAAGATGTCAATGAAAATAAAAAGAATCTGAAAATGCAATATAAAACTCTTGATTCCTCCTGCTCCCTTCCAAATCAATAGCAAAATTCCCATTGACTTCATGGCAGACCTGGAGGATCGAAGAGATTTCTGCAGCCTTTTGGCCAGGCTTGGAATGACCAACATGAACTAATATGGAAGCACTGGGTGATGGGATGAGACCATCAAGTAGCATCATAGCATTGTTTTGGTTGGAAAAGATCTTTTGGATCATCAAGTCCAACCATTAACCCAGCCCTGCCAAGGCCACCACTGCCCCGTGTCCCTCAGCACCATCTCCAGGGCTTGGAAACCCCTCCAGGGATGGGGACTGCACCCCTGTCCTGGGCAGCCTGGGCCAGGGCCTGAAAACCTTTCCAGGAAGAAATATCCAAGATCCAATCTCAACCTGCCCTGGCAGAACTTGAAGCCATTTCCTCTTGTTCCCTGGGAGAAGACACCAGCTCCCCCTGGCTCCAACCTCCTCTCAGGCAGCTGCAGAGCCAGCAGGTCTCCCCTCACCTCCTTTGCTCCAGGCTGGACACCCCCAGCTCCCTCAGCTGCTCCTCCTCACACTTGTGCTCCAGCCCCTTCCCAAGATTTGTTGCTTTTCTTTGGACCAACAACAAAAAGCAAGTTCCCAGGCACATCCTAATGATGTGCATTACTGCTGTGTCCTCATTGCAGCTTTTAATAAGGAGGAAGGGGGATGGAAATGAGTCATAGCATGGTTTGGGTTGGAAGGGAACTTAAAGATCATGAGGTCCAACCCCCTGCATGGGCAGGGACACCTCCCACCAGCCCAGGCTGCTCCAAGCCCCATCCAACCTGCCCTTCAACACTGCCAGGGATGGG